GAGAGAAAAAAAAAAATAATAATTCTCCGCGACATAAAGCAAACGTTTATTAATCTGCAACGGCAGACAAACATATACATAAGCGATCAGTTTCCAAGCAGAAAATTTAATATAGTGATAGTTTGACTCCTTAACTCTATTTATGTGATTTTTAATTGTAGACAAATATATTTGACAGTGATTGTAATTAAATACGTAACCGATTTTTGGTTTTAAATAAATTTTCATTGCTTCTCTTGTTGCTGCCCTTTTTTTTAAATTTTTTTATTTTTTTATTTTATGGTTGACATTAATTTTATGATAGTCATTCGATTTTTATATCTTATACCCTTAAAGTCACGCAATGAGTTAATTAACTCAACTGCTTAATGGAATTGTAACATATACGGTCATCGCTTCCGTCACCAGCGTTCAATTCTTTTCTATTAGAGTTACAAACTTTTATTATTATTTTTATTATAGCATGAGGCATAACAGGTCCCTCCGTCTAGACCCAACTATATTTTATTTACAGTAATTATTCATTAGACAGAAAAGCACACGTGTATATGTATATATATGTATATACATCAAAATATTTATTTAAAGGTCGGCAAATAAATTTATAATGATGATCGGTAATAAAAAAAACATAGAAGGCAATGAAACAACGTGATCGCGTACAATCGATGAAATTTTGATTAGCGGCGACCGAATTGGCGGATAATTGACAACACACACAACAAGCGAATCGTTCTATGTTCGAACTTAACAAATGGATTCACTTATAACGGGAAACACCTTTAGGTTATTTCACCAATTGGAGAGTTTCGATGAAAATTTCACAAAGTTTAAAACGTTGACTCCTATTGTACCCCACACAAAATCGGCAGAAGGGAATGTTAAGTTCGCAAGGAAGAACTTTACACATACCAACACCGATCGATTCAGAATTGCTCCTTGAATCGATCTAAGTTTGTCTGTCCGTCTGTCCATCTTTCTTTATTATGCTCAACTCACAGCCTGTGATTTTGGGTGAACTTCTTACAACGACATATTTTGGGCCAAGGACGAATGCTGTTGCAAAGAGCTCGAATCGAATCAGTTTTTCATCCACTTCCCAAATAAAGCATTAATTTGAAAAGTACTTACATGAATAATTATAGAATGTTGCAGAGGGGGTTAATGCTAAGCCATGGCTCACAACGTTGTTTTCACTTGTTTTCCATAGTCATTTTTGCAACGATATAACAAACACACTATCATTTATAGTCCTATAAATAGGCTTCTGTAACTTGCGGTTGCAATGCTTCTTTGATAAAACATCAGTAAATCATGCAGTTTTGCATGTCGGACAGCCTTGAATAGGTTAGGTTATCCATGTTATTACTGGAAAGGGCTATTAATGTTGACGTTGGTTTTAGAATACATTTTGTAGTACGGAGCTTTAAAATTCGCTCATCTGCATGAATGCAATAATTTGAATGCCATAACCGCTAGCGACGGAGGTCGCTTTCTGCCTCACGATTACCTGTTGCGGCCCACAATCTGAAATTGAGGAAACGCTTCTCCTTGAATTTATTACTTTTCGAGTTCCGCTTTAAATTTTATTTATTATTGCTACTCATTATAAACGAAATAACAATCAAGTCAATACAATCTTTTCTCTCTATAGTGGAAACAATACGTTCATGCATACGCGGCCGTACTTTATACAATTTTACCATCTCCGTCTCTGTTCTCGTTTTGTGTTTGTTTATTAATCTAACCAGTAGCCAGACGGCGGAGTTAAAAAATCATAACATTCTGGTTGGTTAGAAAAACAAATAACTCGAACTTGGAATATTAATGTTGTTCTTATTTTTTTTTTTTTTCTTCTTTAAATAATATTTTTGTTAATTAAGCAACTTTTTCTCTTCAGATGTTTGCCTCTGTGTTAAAAACGTAATTACAATTTTTTATTGTTATTGTTATTATGACCATACTATAGCTTGCTATGCTTTTAATGCTGCAATATGTTGATTGTCTTGCAAAAGAAGAAATGATTTTTTTTTTGTTTTAATTTTCAAATAAAAAATAACAAATGGCGCAAGGAAGCTAACGATTAATAAATATATACACGTTTTAGATTGTGCGGCGGGTATCTCGCGTTTTAGGTTAATACATCATAATCGTGAACCTTACCGACACCGAAGTATAAGTGTCAAATTGCTACCTCTTTATAGCCTGTAACCCTTGTGGGTATAATGAGTGTGTGCAGACGGTTGTAACACCCAGACGAACTTGAGGTAGATCCGTCTTTTAATTATACCGACCGACTCAGAAAACGATTCTAAGTTTGTCTTTCCATCTGATGTCTGAAATATTTTGATGAAATTTGGTACGCTGGCCTGGACGGGCATTTTGAAAATGCTTCGGATCGATCAATCCCCATACAACACCTTGTTTTGATAAGCCCTTATAAGAAAGAATATTGTAATTTTTAGAATTCCACGACACAATCTCGCACTTTGGCATTGCAAATTGGTGTGAAAACTTTGGGATAACCTTTTGAACCGCTTGCCATATAATCGCTCCTACGGAAATTGAATCTTTAAGTGGTCAAAAGCCTTAATTTTCAATACTTTTTGACTAAAACTCATTCATAATAATAAGTTGACATAAAAATTAGCCTTAGCGAATTGGGACTACGTAGGTCTATTTCTTGTATACCAACTCATACAAGGATTCTAATTAAAAATAAGGCTTGATAAATATTCAAAAGTTGTAATAGTTAGTATTTTATGACGAAATTTTGTCCCTAGCAAAACAACCAGACGAAACTTGGGTCACATACATCAATAGAACGATTTAAAAAAAAAAAAAAATGGAATTGTAAGGGAGCACAAAAGACGCTATTTTGCGTACAACGTTCTAATGTTGTATCTCAATGATGGTTTGGAACTTTGAAACTTTAGCTTTTCTCTCCTGCAAATAAGGGATCAGACTATTTACTTAAAGTCACGCGAATTTAACGAAAAGGTATGAAAATATTTATAGTTTATATATATATATCTTCGGACTTAGGGGTGTTAAAAAGTTCGCTTTATGCGTTATTCCTGACCAACCAAAAACATCGAGTTACTCATTACCACTAATTTGTTAGCAAATTCTGCCCTTCCGGATGTAAATATGAGGAGAATAGCGATAATGGAATCTTTGCCAACTTTGGCATGGTAAATGAATGTGGAAGATGTGATGGGCGCCAGTATTTTCTTGATCTTCTTCCCATATAAACGTCCTTGAAAAAATAAACCCTTATTTTGCAACAAGGTTTGATTATTAGCATTATTTTGCGATGAAAACTGGTCTTGGAAAGCGGTTCGACATATAAATGTTCGTGAATATAATTGGATTATGTATGGCGACATTTTTAAAAATTCCTCTTATATAGGAAGATTTGTTAAAAAATCGTAAATATAATTATGGCTAAAATTGCTAAATTTGACTTTGAGGAAAGGAAAAATAGCCTTAAGACGAGATGCAATGAAGCTTGTTTACTCTATGATTGTGAAAAAGTGGCAAATATCCACACACTATTCTTGAGAGAGACACATCTTTAAAAGCTTACTGTAAGACTTTATTTGCGTTTGTTATGGAAATTGTATTCGGCTGTGGCCATCTTCGTTCCCCTACAGTTTACGATTCAACACAATTTTTTTTCTTTGTTTTAAAAACAGATATTTTTTCAGTTTACGTTGTACTGTGGGCGTGTCTTTTGATCCATTTGGCCCATTTGCCGTACCAAGTAGTGTGCAAAAATTTCTAATGTTTTTGCCAAACTTGAAAACAATATCTTTATTTATGCAAGAATATTTACCGTAGGCAGACAGACGTACAGATGCACATGCCTAGATCGATTCAGAATTTGACGAATACATTATATTTCATAGAGTCTCTATAGTTTCCTTCTGAGTGTTGTAAACGTGTTGATAAAATGAATATACCCCGATCCTCCGGTGGGCGGTATAAAAATCTCCCCTTTAAATTAATTATTAAAAACATCGTATACATCTGCTTAATTGTTCATTTTTCTTTCAAAAATTTGTTCTTTACTTTTAATAATCTCCTAAAACATCTTTTAAACAACATAACTAACTTGTTATGGGTTTTTTTTTTTGTAAATGCGAAGGGTTCGAAATGACTGCATAATATTTTTGGAAACACTCCTTCCATTCAATTTATTAATACATTTGAAAATTTTTTATTTTCAATTAATGATTGCTTTGCAGATAATTATTAAAGAGGAAAAATCTTAAAAATTAATAAAAATTCATAAGGTTTAAATTTAATACTAACTGTTCCAATAATTCAGTTTTGAAAATGTTTTTCTTTCTTTTTTTTTTTTTTTTAATTAGAAATGAACAAAATACTGCCATGACAACTGCATAACATGTTAACATATGAAGGTAGGCGGGGCTAAAAAGAAATTTCCATCAACACATAACTACAACAATAACTTTTTTATGAAGACTAAGAGCATCATATATTATCTCTCTCTTTCTCTCTATCTCACTCTCTCCTTAGATGGAACATTGTTTGGTTTTAGAGTGTAAATAAATAGAGAGCGAGATAGAATGGCTGATTGCCCAAAACTATATATATATATATATATATATAGGAATTACATTTGAGAGAGTTACTCGCTCATAGATAAAGTATGAGTAAGCGAGCAATGTGGATTTTTTTTCTCGCAATTGTATTGCTTCCCTATGGTATGAGTTGCTTCAATTTTATAAGTATATAAGTAGATAAGTTATGCAGTTGTGTTCTGAGCATTTTGAAAATGGTGTACTCGCGGGTCTAGAGAAATGTAAATTTTATTCTCAGCAAATTTAAAAGCCACTCGAGCGTCTTCTTAAGAAATATGTATAGCAAAGTAAATTCTACTCTGAGAAATAGAATTTTATTCTCAGTAAATAAAATGTTGAATAAATGATGCCAAGCAAAGAAATATCCTCTCAGCTGTTTTTAGTACAGTAACAAACAAGGTAACGCGCACACTCATAAAGAAAAAATGAAAATAAGTTTTTCATTTTTAATTTAAAATTAATGAAAGTATCAAGTGTATAAAGGAGCTCGGGAAATTGATTTTATGTTATTTAAAAAGAACAGTATTTATTTAATTAAAAAAATATTATAATTTATAGTTTACAAATTATCAAAAAAAAAAAAATTTAAAAAAAATTTATCTCTTTAATTAACTTGATATTTTAATTAGATGAAAATTATATGAAAAAAAATTGCTGTAAATATTAAAATAACAATTTACCGTCGGCATATTGTTAACTAAATATTTAAGTTTAAATTAAATCGTGTAAGTTGCGTAATTTATTTGCTTTGCTTTAAGTGCTTAAGTACGGACGGAAAAAAAAAAGAGTTATACCTGAACTTTTTTGTAGATATTTATTTGTTTGTTGTTTTTGTTTTTTTTTTTGTTTTTTTTTTTTTGTAAATTCAATTTATAGTGTTGTTGTGTTCAGTTAGACTTGCAGTTCTATTTGATTTACATTGCGAAAATAAAATATGGTGACTGTTATGCCCTACAGTTATTCTACTCCCCGCTGTGGATTAATTGATAAAATGATTGAACCAAAGGTATTACAATAATCAAATACTAATTAAATGTATATGTAAATATATTAAATGTGCTTAACTTCATAAACATACAAAAAAAAAGATCATATAAAAAAGAAAACTGAATCGATTTTATCAAGACATATTAATATAGTTGTAATAAAAATAAGTTAGACGACCTATAATAAAGTGTTTTCTGACTTGAATTTTTTTTTGTCTTGGATGCATGTTCTATGTCGGGGTTTTACCAAAATTTTGTACAGCAGGCACGTCATCTACAATGTCAACTTCAAGCAGTTTAGGATCCAAGAATGGGATTTACTCTATTTTTTGTATCATCTCCAGAGCAAAAATAACACCCGCGGTTGTCACTTGCTTTAAATTAATGCATAATTGAGGGAGACGCAGTTCTGCATTAATTTAACTACAACTATAACCTTTGATTTGTTTGTTGCTGATATATCATCTCAGAGGCTAGCTACCACTGTTAATGGGTTTAATGCAATCACAAGCGCAAGCACAAAAACTACAACTTTTAAAAATAGTTAACTGCAACAAATAATTGCAAAATTAAAGTTAAACTCTTTCGAACAGGAATAATAAGAAGTGAGTTCCATTGAAATTTCTTCTTCTAGACCAAATCATCTATCAAATCAGGTAACTCAGGTAATCTGGTAACTCTCATTAGGAGTACATTTTTATTTTGGAATCCCCGAAGCATATTTTTTCAAACGTTTTCGAACGTTCTGACTGCGTTTATATTTTATTTGCCGAAAGGCGGAAGTAAGCAGCACTTAGAAACACACCTTTTATCATACCAATAAGAATAATTTTCTGAATCGTTTTATGGCTATCTGTCTATCCGACATTATCTTGTGGTAAACCTGCAGGTTGAAATTTTCAAAACATTTTGCCGTAGTCGGAGTTTAGTGCACAACATGACGTCGAAGTTTGAGAAAAAGCCGAAGTGAAGTAAAATACTTAATGATCACTCTTGCCGTTTTGCTAATCGCAAATAAACCTTACATTACATATTCATTCTTAGTCCATCGAAGTGGTAGAATATTCTCCTTGGCAGTACAAAGAAAGTAAAGGATGACAAAAGGCTGATTATGCCTTGAGCTCAGTTTTCTGATATATTTTGTCTTACTGTTGTTTAACTATTTCACTAGTAGTAATTACCACAACTGATTCGGATTTCTTATAAGAATTTTTAATACATAGTTACTAGATTCGCTCTTGCAATCAATATTGAATTTATTTATTTAAATTTTTGACTGATTCAACAAGTTTTACAATTAAACAAGACATCATTGTTCGCAGAAAAACATTGAAATTGTTTCAATTAAAGATTTACTGTTCCTTATCTTTTTAAAGAGTGCAATAATCTTAGTAAGGGGATCTGCTATCAATTACGACAATATCGTTTATATCTACCCCATTACATACATATTCAAAATCTTTCCACGACCAAGATCAACTTAACCTTGACGACCGTCTTAGCTTAAGAACTCATAATATACACGTTGTTAGCGCGCCTACAGTTTTACTTTTTACAAAAATTGTCGACTTTCGATAACTTTTTGCAAACCCATTCCAATGCAACGAACTTCGTAATGAATTAACTTTTCCAAAAATCGTCTTTTATTGATGTAAGACAGCACATTAAACCAACCAAAATTTTTTGGCAGAGAAGAAGTTAACCTTTTTCCAGATGAAAACCTGAGGAAATCTTTTTTTTTTTGTGATACCGTAACGAGATGTGGAGAGTGCAAGTTTCAAGAAGGAGTGATATACTTTCTAAAGCTTTAAGCTTTATACCCTTAATGTTAAAAATTTAATAAGTTTCGACATATAGAGACCGAAAAGATGCATATATTGGTTCCATGCATGTGTGCAGTGAAAATTAAGTAAAATTCAAAAGAATATTTTGTGTTTACTGTTAAGATTATGATTTGGCTCTGATTCGAGGATTTGAATCCATTGACCTCGTTTCAACCAAATTTAATGTAAATAAACATCTGCGAGTCATGTAGGAAATCGTAGCAGAAAATATGAACAGCAATTCTCGAAACTCTGGACTTATCAACACAGACAGTTATTCGGAGGTCATCTGTTGCTTCAAAAGTTATTTGACCGATTTAAACATTGACTAGCCGATCAGATCCGGGGGAATGTAAAAAATCGAAATCTTTTCAACAGAATTTCGGATAACACATTCCATGGACCCATTTATTAATAATAGCGGCCACGTACCGTTTTGTGAGTGTGCGTAATATTTTTGGCTTTTAGGAAATAACAATGTAATACGTTAGAGAAGTGAGTACTTTTTTCTTTCATATTCAGAAAGTACTTAATTCTCATGAAACGATGAAATTTTTCTATAGAAATTGGGAAAAAATTTCAGCGCTTATTGCGGATGCGACACCCCATATGTTTAACCTGTTCGTATGGAATGAACAACTGTCAACGACATCTGTCGAAATTTTGCCCCTGAATAATGCATAGCCGTCATATATCGCCATATGACTAATAGAGGTATTGAAAAACATCTGCTCTGTTATCCGGAGAACCTATTAAAAGTTTCCAGTTAAGAGTAATCTAAACAAGTGAAAACGTTTTGGTCCGGCAAGGCCGACTTTTAAATACCTTAAGCTACTACGTCTAATATCATTCTTCATTTGTATATGTGGTGAAATACTAGAAATTATATCTGATTTTCGACCAAGAGGATGCTTTTTATGATAGCTTTTACACAGAAGAGGACCTTAAACGTGGCTTGACGTGGTCCAAATATAATAAAATTATTTTGCGTGCCAAAGATCTGATTATTATTCACCTATTTTTTTCCTAAAGTACTGGAAATTCGTCTTTTTGCCGTACTTTTACAAGTGTCTTTGTATGGGATAAGGTGGTAGACTTAATAATATATTAAAAAAAGAGACCATTTTTTCATGGCAATGCTTAATATGCGTTAGAGCTCTTACAGGGCTTGGGGTAAAAAGTATGGACGTGTATGAGCCAAATTTTACGCCGTAGATTTTTAAGTCAAATTACAATCATGAACCATTGCTAATTGTGAAATATTAACAATTAGACCGTTTTCCTCACTATAAGCTTCTTGTTCATAGGAACTTATAACAAAGAGTCGGCTCAAGAGCCGTTAGCCCATCTAAACCAAAACTTTTCGCATCAATTTATTATGCCTAAATGCTATTACTAACTGATTTTTGGCGAGAAAGTTTGAAAATTACAAATTTTTTTCATATGGCAATCTGTAGCAGTTTATTCATATGGCAATCTAAAGCAGCGAATTGTCGTAAGAATGGTCGGATCTTCGTCTGTCGGTCAAAACAAGTAGGCGTACCCCTTCGCAAATCTCCTTATTAGTTAAGTCCACAAATACTTGGCGGACAGACGGACAGACATGGTAAACTCGAACCAGAAAATGATTTTGAAACGGTCGCTCTTATAAAATGCGGCAGACTACCTGAAGCCGTTGTGGATATTTCATATATCCACCCAAACTTAATATACCCTGCATCGTAGATGGTGTTTGGTACTAACACAAAACAAATTTGCGAACACTCTTCATTACAGTTTTATTGATATTGTTAAATATTTAATTATATTTTACGTAGAAAAAAGTTAATCAAATTTATAAAACAAATATTAAAAGAAGAATGATTTTGAGTAAGATTCGTTCTCAATAAATTGTTAGAAGATTCCATTCGAATGTCGAATGTTAAGCATACGATATACTGATGAGCATGAGCAATGACATTTTTTTGTGACGACCTGCGGTCAGTTTTCAACAATATTTTTAATGTTTTTTGTTTTTAAAGGAATATTCATCATTTTTCTTCATTTTTTTTTTTTTTTTTTTTTTCGAAATGACAGAGATTCCATTGAGTTGATAACAAACTTTATAGAAGGGTAGATTCTTTTTAACTTTATTATCAATAAAAATCTTTAGCATATTTTTGGCACTTCATAACTCAAATAAATGCAATGCAAGACAATGCATATAAAGGCGATTATAAATCAACGACTTCTCTTTTAGCCAAATGATAATTTATGACAAAAACTTAAAGCACAGTGTGTGAGAATCAAAATAAAAAAAAATAAAAAAAATGAAAAAAACGCATTAATGAAATTAATTGAATTTTATTGAATCGTCGTTCAATTGATGATCTCAAGCAGAGTTCATTAAAAATTAATAAAAATAATTAATATATATATAAATTATATTAAGTATAGATGAACTTAATTTTGTTTGCATTATAAACAAATAATTTAACACAAGATTTTTATCCATAAACAGAAACAGATAAAAAGTGAAAGAACGAAGAAGACAAGAAAAAAAAAAAAAAAACAATAACAAAAACTAATTCTTAAATCAGAGAATAAAAAATAAAAAGATTACCATCTTTTCTTCTCTGCTTATGAAATTCTTGTTTACAATCCTTTGAGAAGTTTTAACAGGTATTCATAAAAGACAACGATACGCATACTTATGCATATATCTACAAGCATACTTACATTTTGTTGTTTTCTATAGATATACTTATGTGAAGATTGTTGTCGATCGTTTGTTTCAAGTCTTGTGCCATAAATTAGTTGACAGTTTTCAGCTAAAACAACGTCACACAATCAGAATCGAAGAAAGAAAAAAAAAAAAACAGAAACAGAAACAGAAACAGAAGAACACAACACATAACAAGAGACAATCACACATGTGCATATTGTATCCGAACATGTATGTATGACTGGCAGAGTTTTTAAATATGAAAATGAAATGTGAAATGTGTGCACGCACTTAACCGATCACGCACACATAAGTATACATTATATATGAAAAAATATTTAAGATTTCACTGATATTTTATCAAATTTAATTACTGTTAAGCTGTTAAGAAAGTGTCAAAAAGCAAAGAGAGAGAACAACTATAACAGGAGGGATACAATTTGTGAGGTCTTGGCATACTTTAAATTATTTCATGAAATATAATTAATTATTAGTTTTAGGTACTATTATAACTAATATTGAGGGAGTGCATTATGTTAAATTTGCTAGCAGTTAATTATCCAGTGTAAACGTGCTACGGGTAATTAGGCTATATAATAATAATTATCAAGATCATTTTAACATTCAGTGCAACAATAGTTGCGGTTGGCGTGAACTAACTTCCCCATGAAGGGATATTTCTTCTTTATTCATTCTCGACAAATAAATGAATATTAATTTTTTTGTCTGTTTATAATAATTGGAATTATCTACATATAACACGTTGCTCAATAAGTTCGTGGGATGACATTTAAATGTCATCCTTGTTAACGAATCCATTTGATCTTCAGCCAGTCCGAACCGTTAAAAGATACGTGTCATTAAGATCGTTATTTTAGTGACGTTACATATGAAGTTCAGATATTTTTATTGTTTTACAAAAACACGAGTAGCCTACCTGCGTAGCGTAATCCTGCGAACTTATTGAGTTATGTATTACATATGTAAATTTGGCCAAAATATTATTAAAAGTGAAAATAGCTAATACTTTTTTTGCTGTCTAAAAATCAACGCATTGTGTTTTTGCTTAGCTATGAATTCGCAACAGTAAGAGAAACCGGCAAAATAATTATTACAATTTAAAAAAAAAAAAAATTCTGAAAACACGCGCGCACAAAACAAACAAAATCTTATATTATCATCGCAAAACAAAACAATTATGTTCTCGCTCTTAACTTACACACACAATGCCTATGTGTGTATAGTTACTTAAAGCGTGCAATGTAAAAAACATTTTAAAAGAAAATTTCGAAGAGAAATAACGTCAGTGTGGAATTTTGTAAGACGGCTATGGACCTATAAGAAAAATCTCATTGCGCCTTATTGGAATCAGAAGTTACGAGAAAAACTCATTGGAGAGGACCTCTGCATATTATATAGATTGATTAAACATTTTCGTTTTCACAAATGAACATTTTTCAAATCGTCTCAACAAACGTGCAATCACCTACCAAAACGTTGCTTTCTCTACGCGTAAAACCATTTACTGCACAATCTAGACATATTCCATAGACACTCCATCAAGATGCCGTACGGTTGAAGGCTATACCACGTTTTCGGAAGAAGGGAAAAACTTAAATATAAACGCGTCTGAAAATATTCCGCTACTCGTATAAAAGTCGATGAAAGGTAATTTTTGCATTATGCAAGGATGTTTAGAAAACCCCACATTAAAGCTAGTTTCAATAGATCGCAGCCCATCTGACCGACCTTTTGCCCATTGTGCCTGATAAGCACTGATTCGCATTTTTTCGCAAATCTTCTTTTTGACATTTTTGCATTAATTGTTTTGGAAAATTCTGCTGCGAAACTTTCAGCAGGCTCAGAAGTGGTTTTTCTAACGCTCGATTGCCCGACATTACCACCTAACCGTTTTCTGCAGTTCGTTCTCATCTTGTTTGCATTAAAATCGATTTCCGCAATAGCCGAGAGCACTTCAATTCTACTTGAAATTTATCTTATTCCATGTTTCATTTGCCTTTCGGTAGAAAATTTCCCCTTTTTTTGTCTGTTTGTGATTGTCGAAATTATAAAATTGTTTTATTTTTTTTTTATTAAATTTGATATTTGTTAGTGAAATATTTTATGGTTCTTAAAAACACTATTAACTATTGTTTAAATAATTGTTAAATATCACAGAGTAAGTTCTTATAAAAAGTCTCTTCTTCTGCTTCTTTTGTAATTCTGCAAATGAACATTCGAAGAAGATTCGCGGTCTTGTATAAAAGAAGGTTCAATGCGAACACGAAGTTCTTTATTTGGACCTTAATCAAATTGTTGTTGTATTTTCTCCAACGAAACAAAGCCTTTCCTATATTTTTCCAATATTTTGAAAGCACAATCGTCTTGTAGAGAGTCTTTAATGCCTTTGACTAAAGCTGTACGCACTTTTAAGTCGCTTGAGAAGCTGAGTGACGAGTAGGAACGCATGTGTTTGAAGTTTTTTCGATGAAAACCTTGCCTTTGAGAAAATTGAAATAGAAGGCGTAGAAGGCGTACATACATTACATAAACGTAGAAAAATCACATTTTTTTTTTTTGCTATTAAGCATATGCATGAACAGCATTTAAACAATATTTTATAAAACATCAATTTAAAAGCCTTGAAAATTCACTTATTAAGGAGTTATTTTCGTTAGATCTTTTAGAAAAAAGTATACCGGCGTATGCGGAAAATTGATTCAAATTGAAAAGAAAAAAATTCTTTCTGCCAGCAGGTGAATGTGGCTAGCGACTAATAGAATGGACATAAAACAAAATTTTGATTTGATTATTGACAACTTCTAATTATTACATTGGTGCGCCTTCTCACAAAATACCGCGTTTCCGCGCTTGCTTATAATTTACTAATTTAACGGATTTCTTTCAAACAAGACTCACTTTGCTAAGATTTTGAAATAGATGTGTCGCTTAAGTCAAACCATAAAGAACTCTTAAAAACTCACAAGAATACAACGCCTGAGGAGTAGCAAATTTTTGTATTGCATACTCTACCATGTTATACGCTTTGGTCGAATTATCTCTGCGACTCCAACACTTTCTTTAAACAGAAGTTTTAAGGGAATTTTCGTAAAATCGTGTTTCCTGAATTAATTATAAAATTTTCCCATCAACAAATTTTTGTTGATGTCGTGTAATTTTTCTTTTACGTTGTCGTTTATTATACAACAAAAAAAAAAAAAAAAAAATATTAAAAGAAAAAAAAGAAATCTATTTACATACTTTTTTAAGCCAATCTTTGTCTCACATTTTCCTGTAGAATACGATAACGAAGGCGACACCGCCTTAGTATGTGTTCCCGGAAAGCTGACTCAAATAAAAAAAAAAATGAAAAAAACGTTTTATTTTAAACAAACCATAGCGCCGTAGACTTGATTTATGTATATCACGTTTACATATATTTATAAATTTGTATGCAATTTTATGTTGTTAATTTTAACAGCAACAGTAACAATGTATAATAAAAAAAAAAAAACAAAAAAAAAAAAAAAAAAATTTATATATATGTATTGTAAAACTTGGCACTTTTTCGCCTGAGAATTCGTGTAAATGCTAATTAAGCTTATTTTCAATTATCTTAAAGCTCAACTTGAACAATAACCGTTTAGGCTCATTAATCTCGTTTTAATTTAAAAAAAAAAAAAAAAAAAACGCAGAAACGAAAGAAATAAAAGTAAACACCTTTACCTAAAATGAATGAATGAATGAATGATTGGTGTTGCTTGCTTCGTTCCTCTTGTTGCTATAGTTAACTGAACGTGCAAAAATTATATAATGACTATTTAAAAACCCATAAACCATACAGAAGGTAAAGCATGCATATTATTATAACAATATCTATATATATAAAAAGCAAAAGTATTTCTTCTATACGTACGCACGTACGTACGTACGTAAAACTCGTAAGCAAACTGAAGACGTCTTGTGTCAAAATTCTATATAAAATATAAAAGAAAAACCAAAACACGCAAACATTTTATGTTTTCTAATTTATGGGGTATTGAAAAGTGTCACAAAAATATGTTTAAAATTTATTTAATGCCTGCTTTACCCACAACAGCCAGCAGCCGGCAGCCGGCAGCCGGCAGCAGCAGCAACCATAACAGCAGCAGTGCGCAGTCACACTTTAACCTGGCCCCACCGACCATCCAACCATGACGTCTATATGCACGATTTAAACACGCAAACCGTTTTCACTGCAACGCACATCGCTTTCTTTGGACATTGACATAAACGTTTAATAATATACAACTTCTGGTATTGGTTGTGGCTAAATGGTTTGGTAGGCTGATTAAAGAATAACATGCGAACTTTTCAAAAATCATATTTAACAATTATATATATATATATATATATATATATTTTTTTTTTTCTGTTAAACAATTTAAATAAAGATTATTTTTATTAATTTTTTTTTTTTTTTTTATTGTCAATTTTGCAGGTTAAACGCCCTAAAACAGAGCATACGGACACAAATGAAAGAAATCGGTAAGTAATTGTTATATCTTTCATCTCAGATATTTAAACTCCCACTTGCACTTAAGATCCGATGCTGCTTTGTACATTTTTTTCAATTCGGAGAGATATGCGAGATCAAGCTCGTTATGTAACTCAAAAATGGATTAATTCGAATAAAGTTACTACGTAATATTTCTACGATTGCTGCCATTACTTCAAATTGTAATGTTTTTCGAGCTATCTGTACTTGCAACGCCATCAATCTTAATCACTTTTCCGATCCTTTTTATGGATTGTTCCCAAAAATTTATTGTTAAAACTAAAATCATTTATCTGCTTTGAATGGCAATTTTCAAAAAATTCCCCACTAGATATTGAAAACATATTTTATAAACTTGTTTAGCTCTTTGCTTTGGGTAGCAGTAAGACAATCAAGGGGATCCTGTAATCTTAATATATTTTTTTCTTTGCGAGAGCTTCATTGATTAGTTTTTGAAAATGAATTTAAGAAAATGAATCCGAAATTTGTGCTCAATATGTATTAATACTTTCTAGTGACCATATTACAGCCACAATTACCACGATATGTAAGCTTTTCTAGAGACTGAGCAAATGTTGGCAAAAGATTCGGGCTATAATACCATCAACGATGTGGCGTACTATAATTCTCACACTGACTGATTAGCATATATATCAGTGATCAATAGAATTATTGAAATCATTAGTCGCGATTACCGATGTTACCACACTTTCCAAACGGACAACGGTTTGTAATCTGTGCTTTGCAACAGCCTATGAAACTTTTCGCTACACATTATTCATTTTCCTCTCCTTGCCGCTTGCTATATTCTGCTTCCAAAATATACGTTGTAGGAAATACTTGGGTGGCTAAAGATCATTGCTGCGACCGCTAATGGCTCGGGTTATGTACCTCACAGCGCTCATTTTCATCGTTGTGGAAATGGATTGAATTCACGCAAAGGAAGTCATAATTTTCATATGGTTGTTACCATACCCGCTCGTTTTTGTCACGACCCTTTAGAAAGACTATTAACTAAACTCTGCATTTCATTCCCGACATGAATGACTTGCGGCTCTGAAAGTAAGCGTGCGATTGAGATTTGGATCAGATTTTTTTCAATGCATTGTGTGCATCCTGCATCTTTGCTTGTGGAGTGCGAATTAATTTAATCGTCCTTCATCGAACATCTCACAGAATTGGATCCTTTTGGACTAATTTTCGACGAGTTGCTTGCATACAGCAAGTAATACCTCGGCCATAACTTGACAGTTGTTCGCTTTCAAGACCTCAAAGAGTGTGATGCTTGTTCGCATACATTTGATCTTTTGCTAACCGCATAGCAGTGCAATACAACTTCCCTGCTATAAGGTGAACGCCTTTCAATCTTGTGTTCAAACTCAAGTTAAGCAACTAAAGAATGAGTGGTCAACGTCGTCATCAGCATTTGACAAAATACATTGCATTTTGATATTTAAGTTCGACACCAGCGAACTCTTTCGAATCTTTTCCTTTCTAAGCATAAAAGAAAAGAAATTTAATTCGTTTTTCTTTCTTTTTGTCGGACAATTTTTTTAAATTTTCAAATCGCTTTTTACAAAAAAAAAAAAAAAAAAATGGTAATTCCGATGAATTTTAAAGCGAATGAAATTTTTCATTGTATATTCATTCCTTTTTTGCTTTGCATATGCACGCAATCCTTTTTAACACATGCCACCATTTCATAAGAATTTTCAAGTCATATGGATATGTCGGTGACATACAGAAATAAATCTTAATAAAAGGAATAAGAAAAACATCACAATCAGGCAATGTCGACCAATAAATTCCCTACATGACTTTGCCTCAATTAACTCATCATTCGCTTTTGCGAGAAAATACCAAAAAATTGTAAGTTTTTTTTTTTCCATATAAAGGCGTACTGTCAACGCGAAGACTTATATGGAGTCAAATCAAAGAAGTAGATTTATATACTTTCAATTTGGTAAGGTTAACTTTTAATTTAAATTATACGATCAATTTTTAGAAAAAGATATTCAAAATTAGAAGTTTTCACCATAGAAAGGCTTAATTACTTTCTTTATAAGGAAGGACGTTCCAAAAATAGACTCATCAGAAAAAGTTTTGAGAATTGAATTCATGATCTAATCTTATTACGAAAATATACCAATAAAATGAAATTCGTCAAAATGTTCCAAAAATGACGCCTTGTAAGGCGAACATAAAAACACCTCAACAGAAATCAGGCAGACAGGTGGACAGACTTGCGTACAGACCCACAAGTTTAAGAAAAAAATTATTCCGAGTCGATCGGTACAATCAAAGATATCTTTATATCTCTTAAGTCGTTCTGAATGTTACATACATCTGCCCAATCTTAATACGCTCTAGATCACAAGTAGTAGGTTATATAAGAGCAAGGAGTAAATGATGTTGTGAAGCATCGTCATAGGAGGACATATTGGCGTCGTCTACCTGTAAAGAATGACAATTTCAAAACTGCGGTGCTGGTCTGTGCACGATCTTTAGTTCATGGAGTTATATTCTTTTGTCCAACCATAAAAATGTAAACAAAACGTAAAAGCTGAAAGTGCAGCAAATTGTTATTGCACCTGCATCACTCAGAATACGTATTAGAACTGAAAACTTAAAACTATTGAAGAAGACTTGCCTACGGATAAGCTGTTTACTAGATTTAAACACTTTCAACTGTTTGTATACATCGTCGATGAAATTCTTTTTGGAGTTTAAAAAATTTTAGTCAGCTCACCCTAAGGTTTGGGCTCAATTTTTCAAAATTTCTAGATTCAAGACTGAAGTCTAACGTGAAATATTGCCGACTGGAAAAGAGCGTTAGACGTCCACCCATGCAAAATTCATCATCTGGGAGTAAAGATTTTTTACGGATATTTGTTTGAGTTGATTTTAGAAGCGATTTGAGAAGAAATAAAAAAAGGTTGTGCTCAATTAGTAAGCACAGAAGATTTAGCGATTAGGCCCACAATGCTCACACTACGGTCCTTCCGTATCGTTTTACCTCACTTTGTTCTGGCCATCCTTGAATTAGAAGAGTGCGTCGGCTTGATGGCTGAATGTAAGTGGTAATGACATTAAATTTTGGCCAAAATCTCCTTTCAGGAGACGGCAAGGCTTATCTAAAATGGCAATATTTAATGATTGAATGAGTATCGCATAAGCACAGCCACTATGTAGGGGCCATCCTCAGCTGCCACGCAGACATTCTGCATATCAAAGTGAGAACTGGTGGCGGCTAAAACTTGTCATGTTTGCTAAGAGCGTGCACTCTAGACGATTGTCTTATAAACATCTCGGGCTTATCAAATTTCAAAATGAAGTCTTCTCAATTTGCTAATTTCGATCACAGAAACAACAACTCGCTATCTATACACCGGGTCGAATACTTTCGGGACATTCCTCGTAGTATGAATATATATTATATATATATAAAAAAAAGGAAATAAATTCCCTAAAAAAGTATTTTAATTAATCATTAATTTATGAGGGAAACAGAAAGACTTTCATTAAAGATAAGTACAAGATAAATTATCAATACAAACATTAAGTTCTTTGTGTGTTAATAAAACAAACTCACTCATCTAACTTCATTGAAGAACTTAATCGCAGCAATTTGATGCCACTTTTTGAGTTCACGGTTGGATAATAGTGAAGAGGAAGAAAAGACAACTTATGTGCACGAGAGTCAAGGAGAATCTGATTTCTGTCAATGAAATCGGAGGCGTTCTTTACGACAAAAATGATTGTCACGTGTTTCTTGCGCAGACCAGCTAGAACACATAAACGATTTGTTTGTAGTTGAGATTAATTTGTTTTTCATACATCAAAGTGTTTACTAAGGTATTCGAAATATTAACGACAAATCTCTTCAAAGCATGACAAAGACTTTTCGAACTTGCGACTAACACCAGTTAAAAGGGAAAAGAATGTATGTAGGTCAATGAAAGTAAAGAAAACGGTCGTGGAATAATATTAATGGAGAAAGAAGTTCAAATAATTTTTCCGAAACGAAAAAATTTTTTTTTATAAGCATGCGATCAAAAGATTTTTTTTTTCAAAATTCGAATTTATTATAATTTTTCATGCTAAATGGTCGACAATAGTTGAAATGATTTTTTATGGAGGCGTTTAAAAATCTATAAAAAATTCCTTGGTTTGTTTGTTACTAGTTTACTAGTGTAGTGTTTTTGAAACCTTTCAAAGAGGTTTGGGGACTTTTAGAAACAAATGTCCTTTTTTCCTTTCACTTTTAAACATTTGCTAAACATATGTTTGTCAATAATACAAAATATTCATAAAAAGACCAAATATTCTAAATAAATTCTTACTTAAGTGGTTTTGTTGTTGTTTTTTAGTTATTTTCTAATAACGTATTAAAACAAATTTGTTCAGAGTGCGATATTTGAGTTGAGTTGTGTGTGAGAAAATATTACATTTTCATATATATTCGAATATAACATATATTTACATATATATATATATATATATATATATACCTATGATATATGCATAGTGCGTGTGTGCGTTTGTGTGTATTTATATGCAACAGCCACTTGACTTGATTTTATGTGCATTTGTCCATTTTCCTGGGATCGTTATTTTTATTCGTAAGAAAATTTATTATTATTTTCTCTTAAGTTACGATGAGGAAAGTGCGCATATTGTTCTTAAATTTTTAACGACCCTGGGGAATTTTTATACAAAAAAAAAAAAAAAAAGTTTCAGTAACATTTTAAAGCCAAATAATAATTTATTATAATCGTATGATTTCGATTAATACATTTTTCCATATTTCAGTCTTTGCTCTCAAACGTCTGGTACAAATCAAAACACACATCAGAGTGCAGCTCACTTGTCCCAGTTGCAGGGTCCTTTAGCGGGCGCCCAAACATCAACGGCATTAACAGCCGGCAGTCAATGCAGTCCGTTGAGTTTGCCACCCCAAACGCAGCCGTTACAACCCACAATAACATCGCTAGCATCGCTTACCTCACACTATACCAATAGCTCAAGTCATTCGCCGCTTAACCATCAGAGTCATCATCATCAACAGCAGCAGCAGCAGCAGCAGCAGCAGCAGCAGCAGTCGCAACAACATCTTAACACAAGCAGTAGTTGTAGTCTAAACTCAAGTGCAAATCTCTCGCATACATTTGCTCAGTCGACCGGCAGTAGTTTTTCAACATATCACACACACCAACAACACGGCACATCTGCGACGACTACTAAAAATGAGAACGCAACAGGGCTCTCTGCATCAACGTCTGCTTCGTTGAGTAGTGCAGGTGCTGGCATGTCTCACTGGTTAACGTCAGCTGAACAGTCTTCAACTCAACTGCCTCCAATTAAGTCAGAGAATCGTTCGCCCGCTCTAAACGTAACACCACAGCAATCGCAAGCGCATCAGCAAACATCCTCTGCTAATGCAAACGTAGATGTGGACACACTGCAAACCGCTTTAAGTCATCATTTAGATTCATCGCCTAACAACGGTTCCTCTAGTGGTAACAATACTTTATACGGTTGCTCTTCAGTGAGCGGCTTAGCTGGCTCCGTGTCTAGTGTTAGTGGTCTAGAGTCGCCAACAAATTCGTTAGCATCATCTAGCATGGCCGCTGTTAATTCATCAGCAGCGGCGGCTGCTGCTGCGGCTGCCTACGATTCCAAGCATGATTATTACAATTACTATAACAGTATGCAGCAATACACACCCTCGTTTTATTCTACCTATAGTAGTCCTTATACGACGGCGGCGGCTAGAGCAGCTACGAAAATTGAGCCTAGCTCGCCATACCTAACCACGTCATATACAAACAGTAATAACAATTCCTCGCAATTATATTCAGCCGCTTACGGGTACAACAATTTCGCTCAATTCGGTGCAGCCGCAGCTCAACAGGATTATAGCGGTTATTATAATGATCAATATGGCAATTATTACAATCCCGCCAATTATTCACCGTACGTCAGCTCTCCTAGTTCTAGTACCAGCCATGGTTTTCATGTAGCTCCTTCTAATCTCTCAGAAAGTCCTACCGATACACATTCAACTACACCAATTTTACACAACACCCATTCACCTCATTCTCCTCTGCAGATCTCACCTAATCATAATAATATTAGTGCTGCCGGTGCGGCAATATCAGCGGTGGCGGGTTCATCAGCTTCTTTAACGAAGAGCACACCGACTGGGAAAAGCGGTCGAGCTCGAGGTAGAAGACATCAACAGCCTAGCCCTACGCGCAGCACTGCTTCCGATACACCAAATAGTGAGGCGAACAAGCCTCCAGAAAGGGTATTCATTTGGGACTTGGATGAAACGATAATCATCTTTCATACGTTATTGTCCGGTTCCTTCGCCAGCCGTTACACCAAAGATCATAGTGCTTTAATGACTATAGCATTTCGTATGGAGGAGATGGTCTTCACTATGGCAGATACACATTTTTTCTTCAATGAGATCGAAGAATGTGATCAAGTGCATATTGATGACGTTTCATCGGACGATAATGGTCAAGATCTCAGCACCTACAATTTCGCGACAGATGGCTTTCATTCGGGTGCACCGCCGGGTGCACCAGCCAACCTATGTTTGCCTACCGGAGTAAGAGGCGGAGTGGATTGGATGCGCAAGTTGGCGTTTCGCTATCGTAAAATTAAAGAAATCTATAACACATACAGGGGGAAGTAAGTCATATCTCGTAATGATTCGTATATTGATTCAAATTAATCGATTTATTTATTGCGTTTATTGTGTATAGTGTTGGAGGCCTATTAGGTCCGGGTAAAAGAGAAGCTTGGCTACAAATCCGTCAAGATATCGAAATGGCTACCGACAATTGGGCCTCTTTAGCAACTAAATGCTTAAATATGATTGCTCAACGTGAAAATTGTGTTAATGTATTGGTCACCTCTACCCAGTTGGCCCCAGCTTTAGCGAAGGTCTTATTGTTTGGTTTGGGATCTATATTTAATATCGAAAATATTTATAGTGCCCATAAGATTGGTTAGTACATAAACCTGCATTGACTTGAAGCCCATATCTAATAAACTTGTATTCATTTTGCAGGGCAAGAAACTTGCTATGAACGTATTGTTACTCGGTTCGGTCGTAAAAGTACTTATGTGGTGATAGGTGATGGCGCTGAAGAGGAGGCTGCTGCTAAGGCCATGAATTTCCCCTTCTGGCGCATTTCTTCACACAGTGATATTAGAGCCTTGTATACCGCTTTGGATATGGGTTTCTTATGAAAATCTTTAAGGTTTCTAGGGTAACCGTTTTTTTTCCATAATATTATTTTAATTTTTTCTTTTGAAAAACAACGCACTATAGTATGAAAAGGAAATTTACAAAAAAGAAAGAAAAGAAAAACAAAGTCTTAAGTTTACAAAAAGTATAAAATTTGTACAAAAAAAAAAAAAGAAAAAGAGAAATTTAAAAAAAACAAAAAAGCAAACTTGAAGTAAACTATTAAGAGAAATCTACAAAATTAAGCACAAAATAATGTAATTATTTTGTTTAAATGAGAAAATTAATAAAAAAGAAGAAAAGTAGACGCAAGTCGGCACATTTTTTGAGGATTTTTCCTTTTGACTTTTTTTAGCGTTCTTTAGTAAATCTCTTTCATTTTGTATAAAACTAAAACTTGTGTATATTGCGTTTATGTTTGATTATTGTCGCAGTATTTTTTAAGCACAGCCAGATAAGAAATACTTTTTTTAAAATCTATTAAATGCGATTCGTAGTAACGATAAAATATCTAAAATAGAAATGGATATGTATATGTATGTAGTAGTAAAGGTATTATTAGCAAGTAATATATTATTAAATTTAAAAAAATTATGTATTATTTAAAAAAATTAAAAAAAAAAAAAAAACAAATAAATAAACTATAAAAACTATTAAACAAATATTAAAAAAATTTCAAAAAAAAAATAAAATATGCAAATAAAAAAAAGTGCACTATAATTATAAAATGAAAGACGCATTTTCACTAATTTTTGGAACTGACAATTAAGCAGAGAAGTAAGGCGCTTTAATTTTAAGACAGATCTCTTACTAAATATTTTCAATTTCATTTTTCTTCTGAAAGGCTAGAACACTTTAATGTGCGCTTTTAAAACTTTCTTGATTCTTTTTTTATTACGACCGGATGTCCCCTGATTCGTTTATTCGACGAAAGAGAAAGATATAGGGAGGTAGTGGCCACCTAGTCGCTAAGTGTTATGCCTTTAGTGGCTAAGCATAGCTACGATCAAAGAAAACTTTACCGCACTTGAGAATCGAACCCACGATCATTGTTAGTTGTTAGTCGAGATCCTACTTAGCCGCTTAGGCATTTAGTTAGTTAAGCAAGTTTGTGTTTACTTTATTTGGGAGAGTGTTCGATCGAACTTTATTACAAAATGCGTCAGAAACCGATTCGTCTACTCGATGACTATCGAATAATTCCATAAAATTACGCAGCACTTTATATTGCCATAAACTAAACACGAAAGCAAATTAAAACGTTATAGTGAGTCACGACGCATCATTAAATACAACTACACCATTTTGCTTAATATAATTATTAATATAACAATTTTTCAAAGTAAGACGTTATATGTGGGCGAATGATATTCAATATTGCTCGTCCTTGGGTCAAAACGCGTTGGTGCATTAAATTTCGTCAAAACATCTAAAAAATTGACGGTGGATTGATTACAAAAGTGCGTGACAGACAGTCAGACAGACAAGCTTAGATCGATTCGGAAAGTGATTTTGAATCAATTGGTAAAATAAAAGTTGGATCCCTTCAAAGCCTTTCTGGGTGTTCTATATAGCATATATCACATGTCAATCTTCTCGATAGAATAAATAGTAATCATAATGTCAAGAAGGATAATAGAGAAGAGGCGTATCGCTAAGAGACAGAGCTAAACCTTTTCCGCTATTTGTCTTCATTAAGCATATATATCGTGTTGGGCGCCTATGCTCTATAATCTAATGTAAATTGAAAACATTGAAGAAATCTATTATTATTGCAGTTAGGGAAACAGATTCTAAGATTAAAGTCCTGAAGCACCTTAGGCATTAGCATCTTAGGCTGAAGACTTTATTGAAAACTGTACCACACTTCAAAATGAGTTAATAGTCGAGATTCTTTGCCTGCTCAGCCACTCAGGCGGACAAATCTGTATGGATAGGATAGAAGAATTAAGATTTTGTTTAAAGTGAATTTTTTTTAGTACAAATCACTAACTCTGAATGCAACATTTAACGGAGGAATGGACCGAACGATTCCAGCACTTATATCGAGGCAGACTTTTTCGTTATATTTCAAAGTGAAAAAAACAAATGAGTTTGATGACAATTCCTTCGATTAATACTTCAAGCTGTTTGATGAGGGGATCAAAAGACTTGAAAGGAGAATTGTTCCAAACTCAAATTCGCTCGAATGATAGAACTTGGTAATTAATTTCATCGGGAAAAATGAATCACACTTTGGATTGAGAAAATAGTTTTCTTGAAAACAAATTTAGTTTTAAAGATTGTTATCTTTGCCTTGGAAAACAAAAGTATCATCTTCTCCTTTAGTGTTAAATGCTTTTAGAAAATGGCAACGTTTACAGAAAAATTGCTTTATATGCTTAGGCTTCGTATTGTTATGTATAAGTTATGCACTATATATTGAAAAATCGTTTTATAATTTTAGGCTGCACATTATTCTTTATTTATTGTTTGAACACAATATTCGAAGTTTTGCAAGAGCTTACTACTACTGCCTTTAGATGGAAATAAGTAAAAGTGCGGAAGTGTATGTAGTTTACAAGGACTACTCTTACCCTTTGTGTAATATGGCATTGATGTCACATGCAAGCAAACATGGACTTGGGGAAAGAAATGTAAGCAAGAGAAACGACTGCATTGATTAATGCTACTATGAATTTCTATCTTTATACAGATTTTGAAATGAAACGATTTACAATAAATATATATGCTATTCGACTTTTTAGGGATTTTCTTCATTATTTTGTTTCATTCGTTTAAATTTCATTTAATCCACAAGAGATGTCGGTATTTGTTCTTTAAAAACCTAAGCAGTGTCACCTGTTGCCCGTTAAAGGCGTTGCTACGTACATAATTGAGAGACTCTTTTACATTTAGTTAGTTTTTAAACCAACAGCTGATAACTTATTTTTGCTCCAAATAGGACAGGGTGTGCGCATTTTAATCTGTGTGTGTAAATTTAACCAGAAAATTTCTGCCATTTAACAGATTTAATGGGAAAACGGAGTATTTTGGCAGCAACGTATCTCAAAAAAAAAAAAAAAAAAAACCTTAAGGAAAAGATGATATGAATTTTATAACTTCGTAAACAAATGGAAAATAAAACTTTATTCGTATAGCCCAAGCAATCAATTTTTAAATAAAAATATTTACATATAAATTATATAAATTAATATACAGCCAGCCAACAGCAAAGGCCAGTTTGATTTTCCCAATGACAAATCAAAGCGGTTTTGTTGCTATAAGCTCCAACTAAACGACGGTTATATTTTTATTTAAAATTTAACTTTGGTTTACACAATTAGTTGAATTGTTGCATGTGCCCTTACACTTTCTGTATACGTATAAGCAACGTTTGGAAGAAAGTAGAAAGTATCACCAACAGCAGCAACAAACCGAATTAATTTTGATTAATAAATCCTTAGAAAATGGTCATGCTATTAATAAAACCATGACAAAGACTAACTAAATTTGCTGAAAGTCTGTCATCACATTAAAGAAAGGAAAAACAATAAGAACCACAATAACAACGACAACATAATGCAGATATTATGCGTTACATCTTGTCGCGTTCAATCTTTTATTTACATATTACATCTCTGGTTTGATATTTTATTTCACAAAACAAATGAAAACGCATTCTCTTCTTTGTGTTTGCTTTTTTCCATAAAACCTGAACTACTTAGTACGATATTTTGATTGACGATCATTGGCGACCTTTAAAAGACTTGTTATACTGCAATTCCAAAATTTTTTGATAACTTTTACCTATATATGAAACGACCTTCAACGACCTATACCCGAACTAAGTTTGACGATCTAAGATGACAATATACAGGCATTCTCCGTTCAACGCGGTTGATTCGTAACGTAAATATACGAAACCTTTTCACATATTAATTTAAACTAAAATGATGTATAGAAGAGGGGTTGAGCAAGTTTTTCCGTTAACAGCCCAATGTTGATCGGTTCAGTTACGAGAGAATGTTTACTACAGATACTGTAAATTTGGTCAAAAGGACAGATAGACAGGTAAACAGACTGACGTCCCTAGGTGCATTCTGAAGCTGACTGACGCTGGTCAAAAATATACACATTTTATGGCGTTTTTTCAAGCTCGCTTCTGAACGTTATCAAAGTATCGAAAATATAGTTAAAGTTTGATACTATGTAAAATTAGGAAGCTTGAAATGAGATCAGCTTTCCCCATGTTTGTACAGGCAAATCGCCCAGAGAATATTCGTTCAAATGTTTGTAGATTTATTTGCAGTAGTTGCTGAGTAATGAGCAAGAAAACAATTTTTATTCCGATTGAAAAATAAAAGTGTGCTCAGCTTACGTGGCACTATAGACGCTTCCTTTAACCAATTTGCGTGCATGATCTTGCAATGATCTTTGATAAACTTTAAGCCGATAGCTTAAGTTTTGCGGCCACAACAGACATTACACTTGTGGACAGACAGAGATGCTTAAATCGATTTGGAATTTGATGCTGATCAAGAATGTATATACTTTAGGGGGACTCAGGAGCGTTCTCCTGGTTGTTTTGACAATGAATGTACTCCTCATCCTTCGTGCTCTATCGAAAGTGTATTGTAATTGTCGCGTATTTCGTGCCTTGTTGTATCGAAATCGTGCCTTGTAGATGCCGTGTTAAGTGAGAAAGACCTGTGCTCGTTTCTATTCAAGATTTTAAATCCATTTTATTCCCAGTTTATTTCCAATTCGTTTGTAATTGAATGAAGAACTTGCCAGTGTGTGGATTAAGGTAAATTGGAAGTAAATTGAAAATTAATTCGAATTGAAATTTTATCGTTAAGTTTGTACAGTTGAAGCTATTTTTGGACTGAACATATCGGTAGTGTTAACAAATGTCTGGGCTATAGGTTTTCGGGAATATTTTAACTGAACCACAAAAATTTTGATGAAAAATGTAAAAGAACTGTCGATGTTTTTTTCAAAGTGTGGTGCGGAGAGTAGAATTCAAGATGAGTAAACGCAGTTTTTTCTAGGACAGATGGAAACGATCTGTTAGCTCTCCTCATGCTTTTATTGAATAGAATGAGTAAGGCATTAGTTTC